ATCATTTTAAATTGTTTCAAGAAACTTAAAACTTCTCAAAAGGAAGGTATATATCTAACTTCGACACACTTAAAGAAAAGCGTTACTTGCCTGGATAAGCGAAAGTTGACGTGCACAGGGTAATGGGGGTCGCAACTTCACTACATGATTGTCATTGTGTAATTTGTAAATAAAATCAACCTATCAAATAATTCTTCATCAAAGAGAGTTTTTTCGTACGCCGATGGGAATGTGTTTTATACATCTTAAAAATTAATACGCATACGGAACAGTCGTAGAGGGTTACATGTTGAAAGAACATGTCATTGAGAGAACGCCATCGAATGCATGCTCAAAGAATGAGAGTACCGATGATTTTATAAACAGGGAATAAACGTTTGCATATGCTCGTAAAAGTATAAGATAATGACAAACGGAAATAAAAGAAATGCAAGAGGCACAAAATCGAGAGTTAAAGATGCACAAGAACCAGATTCAATGAACCATTTATTGTATTGACCGTTTGGAAGAGTTCGACAAGTAAGAAATAACACAAACAGATCAATGATTTTTTTGCCAACACCATTTTGTCCTTTCACGAGGCCTATTGAGGCTCTAAGGGATGCAACGCTTATGTTGTACATCGATTTAGTCTACAAGAAACCGTGTTTGATTTATTATAAGAATGAGGCTCGTACACTAGAATTTGGCCCTATGTGTGAAGCGAAAGTAGGTTACTTTGCCCTAGTGCGGGCTACCAACAACAAGTTTCACAAAGGGTGAGCTTCTAGATGGGGTGTGTTTTAGGAAAAAAATATATTAACGGCCGTATATAACTAGACAATAGGAAACCGCCGAGTCATGGGCACGATGTTTCTGAGTTGTACAAAACTGAACGGTTGAAAAGAGACACAACCACAATTGCACAACTTGAAAAGTGTTGTGCAGGTATGGGCTAACGAAAATGTTTAACAATGGGGATGCAAATATGAAAGAATGATTCAAGTTTATGTTTTTTAATTTTTTTGTCGAAGAAAGCTCAATTTTTAATTTTTAATTTTTTTTTTTTATACTTCAGTTTTTAACTAAATGCGACAAAATGCCTGTTTTACATAAATGTTTAGTACGCCGACACAACACATCAGCAACTTAGTTGGTCGATGGAAACACATTTTGGCGTTGGTTGTGTGCAACGTTTGTCATTTTGTGACCTGTTTCATTCACGGCGCAAAAAATCATTGCTATTTAGGATATCGGTTGTCACTTATGTACCTAACTTTATACTAGTTAATAGTACATGGCCTTCCACTAATTCATAACGATCCTGGAATACTTCTCGGTTGGTTCTCGTCTTCTTAGCTACTCATCATGTGGTCACAGGTCTGCAATGGGGTAGAACTTTGTTGAAGGTGGCGCTCGAAAGCTACTCTAAAACTGCATTTGCGGCTTCGACGGTCTCCCTCTGCCTCGTGTCTTCTGCATAGGCATTATCTTGTTCTCCACAATTTTATCAATGCCGATTTGACCTCCACTCATGGTCGGAGGCAACATTGATCTGTGATAACAAAACTGATTGTTGTTTGAAAGACAAGGTAAGTGCAGAGATGCAGAGGAGCGGCATGACATCAATCACATAGGAAGGGCCCTAAGGATCGTTCCCTAGAATCCCTGCAATGTTTAAAACAGTCTAGGAAGTAAGAATAACTATTACGTTGAACACCAAGTGTCAATTTGAGCTGATTATCACCCTATTTTTAACCTCCCTATGTTGTGCCCGCATGCAATTATGTTCAACGATCATTAAAATATCATACAACACAAATTGATGTACAAATATGTTAGTTCTACATTGTGAAATTCGTCATTCGTTATGTGCAGGTGTGCCAAACATTGCGTGTGTTGATAAGGCGGTTCAAATAGGTGAGTCAAAAATTTACTCTGGTTTATGAGCATAGTTACCTTTGTCGTTTTCCATTCCAAGGCTGTCAAAAAATTGCCGTCTACATGGAGTTCATTGACGAATGTAGTAAAAAAAAATTAAAAAAAAAAAAAAAAAACGTTGATGAAGGACACTTATGTTTTACGACGTTCAACTGATAAAAATAATCATCACATTTGTTGTTACATTACAACAACCATTTAGTCGAAACTGACATTTTTTTGAATTTTAACGAAATTGGGCTTCCAAAAAAAAAAAATCATTTCTAAAAATCTTGCGTCTCCACGACGTCAGACAATTGATAGTATGGCTTCCGGGGGATGCCGGGCTAACTGATGTACCCGAAATTTCTCTCTTATTTTGGACCCTTTGATATATTTTGACGGTACGTTACATCAAGATACATCAGATAGTTGCAATTACTTTCTCACACTTCAAGGTATAAACAGCACCAACTTTCTCACACTTCAAGCGATGAGAACTCTGGTATTCGAGCGAAATGACCGCCATTGCGGCATTGCATGAGAAACGTTTGTACACAATGAGCCACACGTTGTATTCCGCAATAACTGACTGCGGGTGCAATTGGTTTTCACAAGACAGGAACTAATTAAATGAAGTTTGCACCTCAAGTGGTTAACCATTGCAAGCAGGCTCTCAAAGGCAAGGTTTAGGGTTTAGGGTTTAGGGGTTAGTAGGGGGTTCAAGGCATCAATCTTTGTCCATTCCGTGAACCTCCACCTGTAGTTCCTCCTGCAGGGTGTTGAGTCCAGCAGGTCTGGCTCTTTCCACCAATCCCAACCTAATGCTACCAACCATCCCTACTGCTCTCCTTCTAGCCTGTCCATGCAAAAATGGGTGATCTCCCCCAACAGCTCCGGTAGTTGAGATAAGAATCTTAGTTTGGTTTCGGTTTCAGCCCTTTGTGTCATCTTTCTGTTTCTATTTGTTGTTTAACTGTGTCTGCGAATTCCCCATCTCTCAGCCTTTTCTCCTTCCGTTGTGAGCACATTGTCAGCACAGCTTTGCAGTACATCATCTCTGTTTTCTCAATTTTACTGTGGCATCATCCAAAATGCTATCTTATATCTATATCTATATCTATATCTATATCTATATATGTATATATATTATATAAACAGTTTGTCACAGCCCCTGGTCTGTTGTCCTCTTCTCCCTCTCTGCCTACAGTTTACCAGGCAGCCCTGTTTGACGATATGTTTTAGTACACATATATCGTCAAACAGAACTGCCCCGTAAACCATCAACAGAGAAGGAGAAAAGGACAACAAATGAGGGGTTGTGACAGACTGTTTCGCCGAAGATTCACCGACTCGTCAGGAGGCTATATATATCGTCACAAACAGAACTGCCCGGTAAACCGTAGGCAGAGAGAGAGAAGAGGACAACAAACAATATATATATATATATATTCACAGCCCCTCGTTTGTTGTCCTCTTCTCCCTCTCTGCCNATCCTCAAATAGAACTGCCCGGTAGACCGTAGGCATAGAGGGAGAAGAGGACAACAAACGAGGGGCTGTGACAAACTGTTTCGTCGGAGTTTCACCGACTTATCGTCAAACAGAGCTGCCCGGTAAACCGTAGGCAGAGAGGGAGAAGAGAAGAGGACAACAAACGAGGGCCTGTGACAAACTTTTTCGTCTGAGTTTCACAGACTCATCAGGAGACTGAATATATATATCGTCATATATATTTCTAACTTTCTAGTGTTATACCTCTGGATTTAACCCCTAGTGTTTTGCCTGTGACCAGCAGCTTTTAGTTGCGCAGTACATTGGTGTTATCAAGCTTCTTTTTTTTTTCTTTTTTTTTTTTCGCAATCATTTTAGATCAAACTCCTTGACAGGTGGTGTTGCTGCGATGGGATGTTGGACCTGTCATCCCTCTCGCAGCCGAAACTGGGTAGTGGCCCCAGCGTTTCCAGGTAGGATCGTTAGCACCCCGGCCTCTACTTCAAGTCATGTGGGGGGAAAAAGGCACTCCTGACGCTCCGATGCGGTATGTAAGTTGCATCCGCAATCATTTTCTAAATGGTTACGGGGAACTTATGGGCCTGCAAAGAAAATTCTGAGTCTGTGACCCAACAGGGGGCCTCTTTATACGTGGGACCTTTTGGCAGTTCCCGGTTTCCACCTCCACTTTTTCCGAAGCCTGAAACTTTTTGTTGCAGTTCCAGTTACAGGCCGACAGTCCTTTTTGAGTTTTGTTAAGTCAAAAAAAGAAGACGAAGAAGATGAAGGAGACGAAGGAGACGAAGAAGACGAAGAAGACGAAGAAGAAAAGATCCATGGACCAGTGCCAGTAAAAAAAAACTTTGGGAAAAAAAAAAAAAAAAAAAAAAAAGATAACTTTGAGGTTGATGAGACATAACTCCTACTACCGTCTTCCCCCGAACATAACGTGTACGAGTTGTATTCGAGTTTTCGAGGGAAAAAAAAAAAAACAAATTGGTGATTCAAATAGAACGCATATGCGTTGTACTCAAATATAGCACCTGTTCTTTCAAATGGAACGCACGTGTTGTATTCGAATAGAACGCAAACTATGTGCCGTACTCGACGCTATGCGTTATATTCGAATAGAACGAACGTGTTGTATTCGAATACAGAGCAAAGTATGTGCCCTACTCGTTTACAACGCGTTATATTCGAATAGAACACACATGCGCTAGAAGTTAGAACGCATTTGCATTGTATTCAAATACAAAACACCTCCTGCGTTGTATCCGTTTATATCCGCGGGAAGACGGTAGTGCAGTAATTTGAACTACCTTCTTCACCCGAATACAACGTAAGGTCATTATTGCTGCATTTAGACTGAAAGATGCCCCAAATACATACAGCTATAATGACAGTACCTTGTATTCTGGTGAAGGCAGTAGTTTCTGAAGAGATCACCCTAAAATGACGTTCTCCACTAAGGAACTCGCTCCGCTACTCTAGAGTCTCTCGACATGCCCAAAAGACAAAAATCATGCCGGTGCATCTTTCCATGTTCTAGCAGAAGATTCGCTCTCGTTTGGCACATGTGGAGAGTAGTGGAGCGAGGCCCTAAATGTCACTTCCTGTGGGGATTCATTTTGAGATAGCACAGTCATAAGACCATGCAGACTTGTATCGCCACTGAGGACGCTGGACCCGGTTTCCGGCAGGTGATGCTCCCCACCAATAGATGGGATGGAGCAGCCCGTCAGGGAAAGCCTCAATTCCGGAGGTTCTCTTACCACCACTGGGATGGAGGTGTCGCACAAGGGCTTTTCAAAAAAAAAAAAAAAAAAAAAACATGCAGACTTGCAAAGGTAATACGAATCAGGAAAAGACTGTGCAGATGTGGGCAATAGGAGGATGCGGGCGAAGAAAGAGCGCAGAGAGACAGCATCACAAAAACAAAGAGTCAGGCCTCCGGGACATCCGTTAAAAGGATTGGAATGATTCAGAAAATGAAGATTACAAAATGGCCCCTGCACAAGGATGACACGTACAAATCGAGAAATGGTCCCACCAAAACAAAACAAAAAAAACAAAACAAAAAAAACAAAACAAAAAAAAAGACGAAAGAGTCAGTTACCTACATCTTGACTATCGTTCAGGTCCAAAAAAAAAAAA